ATTTTATTTTATTACCCTTCAGAGAGATTAGTTTTCCTTTAGATAGTTTATCCTCAGTGGACTAGGAAAACTTTGCATAAACCCCTAAAACAGGATGAACTGCAGTTATTGACCACTGCTTCCCCCTATCCATCCAAGGTGAGGTGATCCCATAAACCTAGGGTCAGATGGACAAGTAACTTCAGGGAGAGAACTCATTTATTACATTTAGTTATGAATTATTAATCAAAACTGTTGTGAATATAAAGTATACTTAAAAATAACACTTGAGGAATTTCCCATGGACAAAAGTGGGGAAGATAGAGTTACTAATTCAATCCTTCCATTGACTCAAGATCCACAAGTCCATTCATAAATATTTTAAAATCAATGGAAAATCAATGATCTTTAGCTGGAAAGAAAAGTAAAAGGGGAATAAATGAGCAATAAAAGTTTTCTAAATCTCCTACAAGAAACTCATTTATAAAGTATTGACAGTACTATGAAGAAAAATAAGAAAATTCCCCAGGAATGTAACTCTACACACTCAAGTACTGTGGTAACAAAGAAGTCTAAGAATGTGATGTTAGACTTCTTATCAAATAAAGATGGATAGTACAAGATTTGACTGCATTAATCTGCCTTGTGAGGAGTGCAGACCTCCGTGGACCTACCTTTAGCAGAGGCGAGCAGCCAGTGAGGAATTTCTCACCATTTATAAGACTCTTGTACAATAGGAGCATCTCCCGAAGAACTGCCCAGGTAATTATGAAAGGAATAATGATTAAAATTCTAGAAACATCTCAGGGATAGGACAAGGGAAAGAGTTTTAACTGGAAAAATAATGCTTGTAATGAAATTAACATTGAAATTCGTGACATCATGGTACCTTCTTCCACTTTTGCATGTGTTCTGCTCATTTTAATTCACATTTGGCAATTATGTACCACAGGAAAATATTTTTGATTGGCTTTGGCAATTATGTATCTCGGGAAAATATTTTGGCTTGGATTATGCAAAATTTTGGTGAGTGACTTTCTTTCCTCTCAGGACACAGTTTAATAAGCACCGTCTGTCAGGACGGACGATCACACCCCTGCGTGTCTTATACTTCTTACGGTTTTTGTTGCTGTTATTGGTTGCTTCTTTCCAAAAGGCTGAGACCTTTTGGAAGGAGATCACCAAGTCTTTCTTTGAAGATACTTCTGAATGAATTTGAACTGCCAATCTTTTGGTTGGTGGCAGAGTGCTCAGCATTTCACACCAGCCCGGGGCTCATCATCTCATTGTTTTTGTTTGTTTGTTTTTCAGATACCAGATACCTCAAGATCGAGGATCTCCTGCCAATTCTGAAAAGAATGGGTACAAGTAGAGTTCGCTGGTAAAGCAGTAAATCATAGTAGGATGAATTTGTCCCACTACCTTCAGGCTTTTCTAGGAAGCAGCAGAGCATGG